CACATCCTACCTGCCTATTTTACAGTTCAGTTATTCATCTCTCAATTTTTGACTGCTGTTAAAATTGTTCTCTTTGCTTTATCAACAATATAAAATGAAATAATAATTAAAAGATATACTACTACAACAAAAGAGCCATTACCTGCCAAGGATGCAATTTCTGAAGCTGCGGTCTCCATCTTCTCACAATTCCTCTGTCTTTTGCCCTGGATCTGTACATGGCATCATGTAGGGCATGTGCCACAACATAGACAGCATTGTAGATGCTGTAGCTGTGGCCAGTCATGCTCATCTCAAAGCCAGACGAGGGAGGCTGTCCAGCTTCTCCTGTCCAGTGCAGGGTTCACTGAACTCAGTACTGGATTTTGAAAAGAAACAATAAAATGTCTGCAGCCAGAACTGCTGAAGAAAACCATCTTCACCTGCCATGAAAGGATTGAGGGAGCGAAGAAGGGTCTTGAATCCTTGCACCTCCTTTGAGTGCACTGTGAAGCAGATGGAGCCATGAAATGGTTGCATACTCTGGCTCATTCGAAAGGCCACTGCTGAGAAATCCAGTTGAGCAGTCATAATCCATACCTTCTCCATAGATGTCATGTTTTCTGCACCCCCTGCCGCTAGCCATAGTTGCAAATAAAACATGGACTTGGCTTCTCCATAGACAACGACAGCATTGGCTTTGCTTTCCGCAATAGCAAGATAGGCTTGGAGCCACTGGGGAATCATGTGATAATACTCTTCAAAATATGAGCCTTTTGGAGTTCTCTCTGAAAAGGCCAAGCAAATGCCTCTCTGGAAAAGCAGAGTTTGCAGGATTTCCATAAAATTCTCTCCACTCTCAGTATCCGCAGCGAGCAACCCAGCCCACGTCCATTCAAAGTGAAGAAGTAACTCAACAATCCCAGTGTACTGATGGGCTTCATTGGGCACCATCCGGTAGAAGGAAGTGGATTCGCTTTGACCAGCATCCTCTAAGGCAAAGGAGCCATAAGTGAGCTAGAAGGAAACGGACACTTAATTCCCATTAATGCAGTAGAAACATTGGTTATGTGTGGATTGCAATGATGAAACCATTGTGCTTTGGACCTGCTGTCTTAGTAAGCCCGTCAGGGAATGGGCAGATGAGGAGGAGTGGTGGAGAGCAGCACCCTAAGAACCTTCCAGAAAGAAGGAAGGGGGGAGAGTATGGTGTGGTGGTTTGAGACAGGTCACACCCGAGAAGGAAAAAGGACCTGGGAAATAATAAGTGATGATGAACCAGAGCAAGGTGGCAATGAACAAAGACATGAGTCACATTTCTTAGAAACAGTACAGCAGCCAAGTGACATTCTTTCTCAAGAGAGTTTGTCAGAGCCCTCTCCTTCCACAAGGTCAAGACACGCTTTGCAGAACCCAAAAGAGAATTGATCTTAGCAGCCACCATAGGCAGCAGGAGGCATCTGATTTCTAGGAAGAAATTGTCGGTGCATGGTGGAGTTGCAATCTGAGCAATATTAGCTCAAGGGTGAGAGCATACTTTCACGTCTTTCTGTCTTCCTGTGGATTAAAATGAAACCATTGAAAAGCTCTCTCTGCTCCTCTGATTTCACTAGGTAGATAGCCGGTGACCTGTTGACGGCACCCCTGACAGCCCCAAATTATCCAGGTCAAATAAATTAAGGTAATGTACAAGCGACTGATGAGACTCCATAATTCATCCTGGTTGGAGTCTACCTGAGGCCAGCAGACCAAGCTGTTCACATACATAGAGTAGGTGTGTACAACTGTATCTTCAGAATGTTCCATTCCTACCTTCTGAAGAATATACACACGTTGGGAAATGGATGGAGACGGATGAAAGCTTTTATTGAATACAATTTGAAATTGTCAAGAGGGCTATGATGGAATGCACAACTTTTCTCAACAGGACAGAGGAAAGAAGAATGAGTCACCATGTTTGACTCTTACCTGGGGAATCTTGTAAACACCTAAGATGGCTGCCATGTGGAGGGAAACCTCAAAGTCAAGTCCCCCAATGACAGCCATCAGATATTTCTGTTTGTCACACTGGTAGTTGGGTACGAATCTGTAGTGTGTAGAGAGCAGCTCCAAAGTGGCCCAGTAGGTCATCCTTTCACTGAAGTAACTATCAAAGATGTGGAATCCTAATGTGACATTAGGTAATAGATTGGAATTCTTGTTGATTTCCTGGACTGCAAACACCAAGGCCAGAATTTGCTGATAGTATTTTGGTACAACACTGCAATGAGAGTTGGACATCAAAGCGTATTGCTGTGTACCATTTTTGGTCAATCTGTTTAAAGAAACTTAGGTTCCATGTCTTTCTGTGCTAGGGAGCAACAAGGCAGCTTACAGGCAGATTGAATTAAACCAATAAAGAATTTGTTTTAAATACACATACAGCAAAAACTGCACCGCACTGTTCACTCAAGTGAAGCTTGAGTTCCACTAAGATGGCGAGATCCTAGTAAGCCAGGTGTCCTTCAGCTTATATTTCTGAAGTTGGTACTTCCTGCCTAAGTGCAGAACCTTACATTTCTCCCTATTTAAATTCATTTGTTAACCCAATCCTCCAATCTGTTAAAGAAATCTTGAACCCTGAGACAATGCCTACTCGCCTTCTAGGTCATATGTCTTATTTGCCATCCTGTATTAAAAGCTCCAATTCATCTTGCTTGTTTCCCATTCTCTGTGCCTTTCAGTAGAGAAAACTGAAACTAGGAATCATTCTCTCCAGCTGCTTCCTTCTTGTAGTTTGTTGCCCTTTTGCAGGTTTCTGGAACCCCACCTCAGTTTCCCACGCATCAATGAAGCTATTGCCCCCGATAGCAGCCAACCTTCTGTTGCCTGTAATGTTTTGACAATTACTCTGTGTACCTTTTCTTTGAAGATTCTGTAAAACCCAATGGTAGAGCATTTGCTTAGCATACAGGTGGGGCTGGGGCAGACCCCTGTCTGAAATCCTGGAGAGCCACTGCTACTCTGTGTAGACAGGCATGTAATAGGTAGACCACTGGTTCCTACTGGCCATTCACCCATTTCCTGTTGACATCAGAATGCTGGGCTCTCTAGATTATGACACCCATGTGACTGGTCGTGGCCATGGCTCCTCCTCTCCCTTAAGCACTGCTCTGGAAAATGGGGTGGGGGAGCTTGGGGGTGGGGGAGCTTGGGGGTGGGAGAGAAACACACCACCCAGAACATAATGTCATATCTCACTGGAAGACTGCTCTTTCTTTGCTTCCATGCTGGATCCTAGACAATTCACATCTTTTCTACAGGCTTGACGAAAAATTTATTGTCTGTCTTGATCATTTTAGATGTTAAAATTCAGGTGGTGGGGAGGGTTAAGTTTAAGATTGATCCTATGTTCGGTGGGGGGATATTTTGCACCCCTCCCTATAAGTTATAAATCCCCATAGCGAAAATAAATAGTATGTATTTCTGAGCCCACATGGTAACTTAGGAATTAATATGACATAGGAACTGAAAATTTGCGATACTTACAATGGATTAAGAATCTGATGGATGGATGGCCATTGTATGAAGGTTTCATAGTCAACAGAGGACATGATGTGAGAAGCAAGTGCACCAATGATAAGGTCACCTGGCTGATAGTACTTGTGTGGGATATGGAGGTGACTGATGCTCCGACTGACGTTTGACAGATTCGCCATTTGAGGCAGCAAGAAGATTAACAGCATCAACACTGCCATACTAGGAACAATACACTTTCCTGGACAGCGATTTCGCTGTTTACAGCTAATCAGCATTGGCATTAGAAACAACCTCAGTACAGCAGCTTACCTTGAATGGCACTCTCCGAATGCACCAGCTAAATTCCCAAGACCTAGGATCCAACTCCAGGGGAAAGCTCACTAAACGAGTCAGCAGCACCTTAGCATTTGCTGGGGATGGCAGAGAGGGTTTTAATTCTTTGTAGACTGGATTCCTGGAAGTCTATGGAGGTCTAATCAGAAGCAGATTATTACCATGTAATTGATAATAACCGGGGAGAGAATATTGTTCCCTTTGCCTCAGCTGGTCCATTGGAAGTAGCAGAGACAATGATCCACACAAAATAATCCCTCAGCAGCCTCCTTCAAGTGTTTTCAAGGCATTGTAATGAGGGGGGAGCAGGAATAAGCCTGTTCCCCTTCTCCTCCATTGCATCCCTGCTGCCAGTTTCATCACCTACTGTGTTCTCAGAAGAGAGCCTCTGCAGCTTTCTCTACTTACTGTACTTTCTTACACAATCCAGAACCCTAAAAGTTGTCAGTCACTCAAGAGGATCTACACAGGTAGAGAAGGCACCTTGCAGGGAATCAACAAGGACCTCTGACCTGCAGCAGTTAGGCCAACCTAGCCTCTCCATTGGGCTCATGGTCCAAACCACATTCACATGTCCATCAGCTGATGTTATGTGAGGCCAGGCATGGGGCAGGTAAACCCATGGGGCCAAGATGAATCCTGCCACTGGTAGAATTTGGCTGGAAAGGAACAATTGTGAGCAGACTCTGAGTGACTTCAAGGCATGAGTGTGATGATGGACATACAGTCCGTTGGGCCCTGTCTGCAGGCCTTTTTAGGGCCCCTATATATATTCACCTAAATAAACAGAAAAAGGTAGAATTGAAAGGAGCCCCCAAAGGTCATCAAGCTCGACCCCCTGGAATGCAGGGATCACAACTGAAGCATCCGTGACAGGCTGGGTGCGTGACATGAGGAGGACGCAGCAGGAAGGGCACATGCCCATTACATCCTCCTGACGCCCTGCCAGCCCCACACTGCTTTGAGGGGCTGGGATGTGGGATCAGACTTGCAAAACAGAACCGGGCTGACATGGGTGGTGTGAGGAGCAAAACGTGCCCTGGAAAAACTGTGCCCAGGGCAAAGACTGCCCTTGTGATTTCACCTAAACCCTCTTTCTCACATGCTGCTTTGTGAAGAGGAAAGTGCATTCAAGAACAGAGTTTGAGACACAAAGGGGATTGTGAGCTCGGCCCTGACTCTCTGATTCCAAGGATGCAGCACTAGACTTCAGACCACAGGCCTGTAAGGAGGTCTGCTGCTTAGGCAAAATTTAAAACAAAACTTGAGGTAGGGAATTTCTGTCCTGGCTCTTCATGCAAGTACTTCTTCATTACACACAGAGAGCTGCATGTACAATTCTGAGTTCAGAATAGGTATATGTGGCATCTCTCACTCTCTCTGGGAAGAGGGGTATTTCCCTCCTTTTCATTTTCTCCTCATAGCATAGAGATATTATCTCTTGATGCCACAGATGTGCCAAAGGGTTCTGTCCTGGGCCTGTTGTTGTCAAACCAGACCAATCTCATTTCTTTTCTTTTTTATGGCATTACAAATGTGGTGGATCAGGAGAATGCTGTGGTCATAGTCTATTTTGAGTTCAGTCAGGCTTTTGGCAAAGTACCCCATTATATTTTCATGAGGTAAAATGTGTGCTGAACATGTGCAGAGGAGGGCAGCCAGGAAGATGATGGGTGGGAAACCAAGCCTTATGAGCAACGGTTGAGGGAGCTGGGTATGTTTAGCCTGGAAAAAGGAGACTGAGAGGAGATATGATACCCATCTTCAAATACCTCAAGGGCTGTCACATGGAAGATGCAGCAAGCTTTTCTCCTGCTACAGAGAGTAGGACCCAAACCAATGGATTCAAGTTACAAGAAAGGATGGAGGTGGAGTTTCTGAGCATCTCCACACTTTCTTCTGTGAAATTGGTGTTTTTTTGTGTCCACAAGAGTTCCTCAGTTTTCCAGTTGTGCCCTTGGGCTCCCAAAGGTGCAGACCACATCTCGGGGTGGGGGGAGAACCATCTGATTATTTTTTTATGCACATAGCAAGTTCAATAAACAAATAAAATGAAATTATATCAAGGAGTCAGCAGCAAAATCATTACCCATGTTCTGGGGTAACAGAAAAGAGTGACAACAGGGTACTTTGCTATTTCTTCTTTATTAACTGCTGTTTGTCATTCAGATCAGGCCTTAATATGATAATGTAGCATTTGGGGAAAAAGATGGAACCCAGTAAACCAGCACTGGAGACCAAGATGGAGAAGATCTCCACAGCCACCATGTGTTTCCCCTTGGAGCTCAGGTAGACCGGAACAAAGGAGATCCAAACACTACAAAATAACAACATACTGAAGGTGATGAATTTGGCCTCATTAAAGCTGTCAGGCAGTTTCCTGGCTAAAAATGCTACAACAAAACTGACAATGGCCAGGAGGCCCATGTAGCCCAGGACACAGTAAAACATGGCAGCTGACCCTTCATTACATTCCAGAATAATTTCTCCTGTCACAGAATGCTTGTCAAAATGGGGAAATGGGGGAGAGGTTCCCAGCCACACAGTGCAAATACCAGCTTGGATAATAGTACAAGTCAACACAATGGCGCTTGCCAGTCTTTTCCCCACCCATTTCCTCATTCTGGATCCTGGTTTGGTGGCCATGAATGCCAGAACAACGGTGATGGTTTTGGCCAACACACAAGAAACAGTCACTGTGAAAACCACACCAAAAGCCATTTGTCGGACAAGGCAGGTCACTCTGTCTGGTCGGCTGAGGAAGATGAGGGGACAGAGAAAACAGAGAAGGAGAGACAGGAGGAGAACGTAGGTGAGGTCCCGATTATTGGCCCTGACAATCGGTGTGTCCTGATGCTTCATAAAGATGGCGAGGGACAAGATGGTGAGCAAAGAGGAGAATACGGAGCCAAAAGCTAAGCTCATCCCAAGCGGTTCTTCCAAAGTCAAGAAGCTGATGAACTTTGGAATGCATTGTGTTCGGTTCCTGTTTGGATAGTGATCTTCTGAGCATCCGACACAGTCATTCATGTCTGAAAAGAAGAAAGGATTCCCTTTAAGGGTACAACTTGTGAGTAGGTATGCATCCTCCTGGCAGTATGGGACTTACCAGTTGGGTGTGGAAGAGACAATCCTTTTCAGACACAGGAGTGACTAGCATGGGGAGAAAGGGCTTTGAACCCCCCTCCCCCAGACAATGATCTCAGTCGCTTGCCTGGACAGTAAGGTGGTGGGTCTGGACAGCAGGAGGCCTGTGCTTTGCAGGTGCACTGCTGCAACTCATCTCCATCACCACCCAGGTAATCAAGTGATAGAAAACCTCTGGCCCATGGGGCCATTTTAGCAAGTTACACCTACTGGCCCTGTATCTGATGTCACCTCTGATGTTAGGTGTAGGGCAGGTAACAGTGTGCTTTGTAAACCCCAACCATCATCTGATCATTTGGGCTTGCAAAGCACCTCTTTGATAATGCTGGGCCTCGTTGCTGGGCCATCACCTCATTGCAATGAAGAGCTCCAAGTCTGTGAACTTCAATGACCATAGATATCAGAACTACATCAATAGCAGCAACTGTGACACCTTTCACTCTGCCACAGACCCTTCACAGGAAATCTGAGTTATCTGAAAGCTACCTAATGTCTCCTACCTTTCTGGTATGAAATCTTGCCTTCTGAACATGGAGCACAGTCATAGCAGCAGAATTTCTCCCCTTCCTTCTTTTTTCTCCTAGTACCAGAAGGGCAATTTTTGTTGCATTGAGAGAGGGGTGGCACCTGTGAATTTTAATTAACCGTAAGGAAATGTTTAGCACAGGGGGAATAATGGACCTTTGGAGAACCTGAACTCCATTTTCTGGGGTGCAAGGGATCAAGTGGGTAGGAGAAATGGCATGCTGAATATTAAGAGAATTTTGACAGCAATGAGCTGTCAACAGCTATTAATGGCATCTAATGAGACAGAAGATGTTTTTGTGACTCTGAAAATGAAGTTATGGTCATATCAATGTGTTTTTTAAAAAAATAAAAATCAAAAGGAGGGAGGGAGGGAGTTCACCTGAACAGTAATATTATTATTATTATTTGGAAAAATACATTTCTTATAAAACTCAAAAGGATTTAAAGTAGAGTTGAAAGGATGTTTTGACATCCTAAGCGATTTAAATAAGCAGCACCTATATACACTGTCAGGTTCCTTCTGTTTTTCCACCTGAAAAAGCACAAATATTGGGGACTGAGAACTCCAGACTAAATACACTGGGCCAAGAGACAATTGTAACACAAGTTAAGCAGCCTCAAAACCAAAGTTAGTGCTGGACTCTGCCAGACCTCTGCTACTATATCTTGAGAATTACTAGCCTCCAAACCAGGCATTCTCTGCAGAAGTCTGCCTCGTCTGTCTCCAGGCTCAGCTCTCTTTTCTTTCTCCCCAAAGAAGTTGGTTGGAGGTTAGGCTTAGGTCACACTGTGCTGGCCTAGAAATCTTTAAAGAATGTGCTAGACAGGGAAGTGGAAGACCAGGATTCAAATGAAACTCATTGGGTGACCTTGGGCCAGTCACTGCTGCTCTCAGTCTACACTACCTTACAGGGTTGGTTGTTAGGATAAAACAGGAAGTAAGCACACAGCCTTGAGCTCTTGGAGGAAAGGTGGACTAAAAATGCAATAAACAAACAAGCATATAATAATGAACTATGTCCTGGTCTGCTTCAAGGCATCAGAGCCCCACAACATTCATAGAGGTTTTCATAAACAACAAGAGAGAGAAAATACAGGATCCATGTCTCTGCTAGGCTTCCAAGATGCAAACATCACATTTAGGACACACTGGAGTTGCAATTTTCTGAAATCACGCCCCACCTGCTGAAAACTCCTGTGCCACACCATTTTGTCTTCATTGATGGAAAACTCTTTTCCTGGGGGAGCATCCAAATTCATCCATCCAACCTTCATTCTGATGAAGGAGTTATTTGGGAAAGTGACCAAGTTGGTAATATCGAACCCAGCTTCTGATTCCCTGTTCTCACTAAAAGACACTTCTTCTCCCGCACTGTTGTTAAATGAGACACTCCTAAGAAATGGGTGGAGCTGCATTGAGATGGCAGGAAAAGGACAATTGTTTAAAACTCAACCTTATCTTATGTTCAGCATAGCCTTTTAAAGTGCCATTGCCTCTTCCAAGGCAGTAGACAAGATTTCATATAATCACGAAATAATAAAAATAGCAATAATAACAGTAAATGTTGATCTCTCTTTCCTCTGTAGATTCCTCCGTATAGGACTAAGCCACACTGTATATGTATTTCAAAGCTTAAACGGGACTTCCAAAATCATCATGCAAACATCCATGAAGTTCAATGAAGAGTGTAAAAATGAAAGAACAGAAAAATGGGGGGGAGGGTAAGACTGAGGGAGGAACAGGCAAAACAGGTGTTCCTGTTAAGACTCTAGTTGAGATAGAAATTGCCATTGACAATATCACACCTAGCTGTTTTGAAGAGCTGAAGCTCAGGTGAGTGGGTTGTATCCGATTTTCTCAGAAATGATCAGAAATGATAAATATTACTATAAAAAGATGGTTTGTTGTCCAAAATGAATGTCACTGTGTATTTCTGATGATACCATTGTAAATATGTTGCCAAAAAAAATTGGCAAGATTAAAGTGGCAGCATTCATAGTAATGGCAACTCAATAGAACACAGCCCAAAAATCTGATGCTGGACACTTTGTACCACTCACTCTGGAATATAGCTATAACAAAAATAATCACAAATAATTTGAGATTTTGACAAGGACTAGACATGTTTTATATGATTTGGCATATACAACAGAACCAACGTTTTCAAAACAACCCCCTCCCCCAAAACCTGGCAAATCTGGAACTGTGCTTGGTGATCTGATACAATTGGACTTAATTTGGACTTTAAAGTCTTTATTTAACTCACGTGCAACTACACACCCTACCTGCCTATTTTACAGTTTGGTTATTCATCTTTCAATTTTTGTCTGTTGTTAAAATTGCGTTATCTTTGCTTTATCAACAATCTAAAATGAAATAATAATTAAAAGATATACAACAACAACAACAACAACAAAAGAACCATTACCTGCCAAGGCTGCAATTTCTGAAGCTGCGGTCTCCATCTTCTCACAATTCCTCTGTCTTTTGCCCTGGATCTGTACATGGCATCATGTAGAGCATGTGCCACAACATAGACAGCATTGTAGATGCTGTAGCTGTGGCCAGTCATGCTCATCTCAAAGCCAGACGAGGGGAGGCTGTCCAGCTTCTCCAGTCCAGTGCAGGGTTCACTGAACTCAGTACTGGATTTTGAAAAGAAACAATAGAATGTCTGCAGCCAGAACTGCTGAAGAAAACCATCTTCACCTGCCATGAAAGGATTGAGGGAGCGAAGAAGGGTCTTGAATCCTTGCACCTCCTTTGAGTGCACTGTGAAGCAGATGGAGCCATGAAATGGTTGCATACTCTGGCTCATTTGAAAGGCCAATGCTGAGAAATCCAATTGAGCAGTCATAATCCATACCTTCTCCATAGATGTCACATTTTCTGCACCCCCTGCCGCTAGGCATAGTTGCAAATAAAACATGGACTTGGCTTCTCCATAGACAACGACAGCATTGGCTTTGCTTTCCGCAATAGCAAGATAGGCTTGGAGCCACTGGGGAATCATGTGATAATACTCTTCAAAATATGAGCCTTTTGGAGTTCTCTCTGAAAAGGCCAAGCAAATGCCTCTCTGGAAAAGCAGAGTTTGCAGGATTTCCATAAACTTCTCTCCACTCTCACTATCCAACGCAAGCAACCCAACCCACGTCCATCCAAAGTGCAGAAGTAACTCAACAATCCCAGTGTACTGATGGGCTTCATTGGGCACCATCCGGTAGAAGGAAGTGGATTGGCTTTGACCAGCATCCTCCAAGGCAAAGGAGCCATAAGAGAGCTAGAAGGAAACGGACACTTAATTCCCATTAATGCAGTAGAAACATTGGTTATGTGTGGATTGCAATGATGAAACCATTGTGCTTTGGACCCGCTGTCTCAGTAAGCCCGTCAGGAAATGGGGAGATGAGGAGGAGTGGTGGAGAGCAGCACCCTAAGAACCTTCCAGAAAGAAGGAAGGGGGAGAGTATGGTGTGGTGGTTTGAGACAGGTCACACCTGAGAAGGAAAAAGGACCTGGGAAATAATAAGTGATGATGAACCAGAGCAAGGTGGCAATGAACAAAGACAGGAGTCAGATTTCTTAGAAACAGTACAGCAGCCAAGTGACATTCTCTCTCAAGAGAGTTTGTCAGAGCCCCCTCCTTCCACAAGGTCAAGACACGCTCTGCAGAACCCAAAAGAGAATTGTTCTTAGCAGCCACCATAGGCAGCAGGAGGCGTCTGATTTCTAGGAAGAAATTGTCGGTGCATGGTGGAGTTGCAATCTGAGCAATATTAGCTCAAGGGTGAGAGCATACTTTCACGTGTTTCTGTCTTCCTGTGGATTAAAATGAAACCATTGAAAAGCTCTTTCTGCTCCTCTGATTTCACTAGGTAGATAACCAGTGACCTGTTGACGGCACCCTGACAGCCCCAAATTATCCAGGTCAAATTAATTAAGGTAATGTACAAGCGACTGATGAGCACTCCATAATTCATCCTGGTTGGAGTCTACGTGAGGCCAGCAGACCAAGCTGTTCACATACATAGAGTAGGTGTGTACAACTGTATCTTCAAAATGTTCCATTCCTACCTTCTGAAGAATATACACACGTTGGGAAATGGATGAAGACGAATGAAAACTTTTATTGAATACAATTTGAAATTGTCAAGAGGGCTATGATGGAATGCACAACTTTTCTCAACAGGACAGAGGAAAGAAGAATGAGTCACCATGTTTGACTCTTACCTGGGGAATCTTGTAGACACCTAAGATGGCTGCCATGTGGAGGGAAACCTCAAAGTCAAGTCCCCCAATGACGGCCATCAGATATTTCTGTTTGTCACACTGGTAGTTGGGTACGAATCTGTAGTGTGTAGAGAGCAGCTCCAAAGTGGCCCAGTAGGTCATCCTTTCACTGAAGTAACTATCAAAGATGTGGAATCCTAATGTGACATTAGGTAATAGATTGGAATTCTTGTTGATTTCCTGGACTGCAAACACCAAGGCCAGAATTTGCTGATAGTATTTTGGTACAACACTGCAATGAGAGTTGGACATCAAAGCGTATTGCTGTGTACCATTTTTGGTCAATCTGTTTAAAGAAACTTAGGTTCCATGTCTTTCTGTGCTAGGGAGCAACAAGGCAGCTTACAGGCAGATTGAATTAAACCAATAAAGAATTTGTTTTAAATACACATACAGCAAAAACTGCACCGCACTGTTCACTCAAGTGAAGCTTGAGTTCCACTAAGATGGCGAGATCCTAGTAAGCCAGGTGTCCTTCAACTTACATTTGTGAAGTTGGTACTTGCTGCCTAAGTGCAGAACCTTACATTTGTCCCTATTCAAATTCATTTGTTAACCCAATCCTCCAATCTGTTAAAGAAATCTTGAACCCTGAGGCAATGCCTACTCGCCTTCTAGGTCATAGGTCTTATTTGCCATCCTGTATTAAAAGCTCCAATTCATCTTGCTTGTTTCCCATACCCTGTGCCTTTCAGTAGAGACAACTGAAACTAGGAATCATTCTCTCCAGCTGCGTCCTTCTTGTAGTTTGTTGCCCTTTTGCAGGTTTCTGGAACCCCACCTCAGTTTCCCACGCATCAATGAAGCTATTGCCCCCGATAGCAGCCAACCTTCTGTTGCCTGTAATGTTTTGACAATTACTCTGTGTACATTTTCTTTGAAGATTCTGTAAAACCCAATGGTAGAGCATCTGCTTAGCACACAGGTGGAGCTGGGGCAGACCCCTGTCTGAAATCCTGGAGAGCCACTGCTACTCTGTGTAGACAGGCCTGAGCTAGGTAGACCAATGGTTCGTACTGGCCATTCACCCATTTCCTGTTGACATCAGAATGCTGGGCTCTCTAGATTATGACACCCATGTGACTGGTCGTGGCCATGGCTCCTCCTCTCCATTAAGCACTGCTCTGGAAAATGGGGTTGGGGAGCTTGGGGGTGAGAGAGAAACACACCACCCAGAACATCATGTCATATCTCACTGGAAGACTGCTCTTTCTTTGCTTCCACGCTGGATCCTAGATAATCCACCTCATTCCTACAGGCTTGACGAAAAATTTATTGTCTGTCTTGATCATTTTAGATGTTAAAATTCAGGTGGTGGGGAGGGATATTTTGCACCCCTCTCTATAAGTAATAAATCTCCATAGATAAAATAAATAGGAAGTATTTCTGAGCCCACATGGTAACTTAGGAATTAATATGACATGGGAATTGAAAATTTGCAACACTTACAATGGATTAAGAATCTGATGGATGGATGGCCATTGTATGAAGGTTTCATAGTCAACAGAGGACACGATGTGAGAAGCAAGTGCACCAATGATAAGGTCACCTGACTGATAGTACTTGTGTGGGATATGGAGATGACTGATGCTCCGACTGACATTTGACAGATTCACCATTTGAGGCAGCGAGAAGATTAACAGCATCAACACTGCCATACTAGGAACAATACACTTTCCTGGACAGCGATTTCGCTGTTTACAGCTAATCAGCATTGGCATTAGAAACAACCTCAGTACAGCAGCTTACCTTGAATGGCACTCTCCGAATGCACCAGCTAAATTCCCAAGACCTAGGATCCAACTCCAGGGGAAAGCTCACTAAACGAGTCAGCAGCACCTTAGCATTTGCTGGGGATGGCAGAGAGGGTTTTAATTCTTTTTAGACTGGATTCCTGGAAGTCTATGGAGGTCTAATCAGAAGCAGATTATTACCATGTAATTGATAATAACAGGGGAGAGAATAATGATCCCTTTGCCTCAGCTGGTCCATTGGAGGTAGCAGAGACAATGATCCACACAGAATAATCCCTCAGCAGCCTCCTTCAAGTGTTTTCAAGGCATTGTAATGAGGGGGGAGCAGGAACAAGTCTGTTGCCCCTTCTCCTCCATTGCATCCCTGCTGCCAGTTTCATCACCTACTGTGTTCTCAGAAGAGAGCCTCTGTAGCTTGCTGTCCTTACGGTACTTTCTTACACAATCCAGAACCCTAAAAGTTGTCAATCACTCAAGAGAATCTACACAGGTAGAGAAAGCTCCTTGCGGGGAATCAACAAGGACCTCTGACCTGCAGCAGTTAGGCCAACCAAGCCTCTCCATTGGGCTCATGGTCCAAACCACATTCACATGTCCATCAGCTGATGTTATGTGAGGCCAGGCATGGGGCAGGTAAACCCATGGGGCCAAGATGAATCCTGCCACTGGTAGAATTTGGCTGGAAAGGAACAATTGTGAGCAGACTCTGAGTGACTTCAAGGCATGAGCTGTGATGATGGACATACGGTCCATTGGGCCCTGTCTTCAGGCCTTTTTAGGGCCCCTATAGTAAAAGGTAAAGGTACCCCTGCCCGTTCAGGCCAGTCTTGCCAGTCTCTAGGGTTGTGCGCTCATCTCACTCTATAGGCCGGGAGCCAGCGCTGTCCGCAGACACTTCCGGGTCATGTGCCCAGCGTGACAAGCTGCATCTGGCGAGCCAGCGCAGCACACGGAACGCCGTTTACCTTTCCGCTTGTAAGCGGTCCCTATTTATCCACTTGCACCCGGAGGTGCTTCCGAACTGCTAGGTTGGCAGGCGCTGGGACCGAACGACGGGAGCGCACCCCGCCGCGGGGATCCGAACCACCGACCATGCGATCGGCAAGTCCTAGGCGCTGAGGTTTTACCCACAGCGCCACCCGCGTCCCATGGGGGGCCCTATATATTCACCTAAATAAACAAAAAAATGTAGAATTGAAAGGATCCCCCCAAAGGTCATCAAGCTCGACCCCCTGGAATGCAGGGGTCACAACTAAAGCATCCGTGACAGGCTGGGTGGGTGACATGAGGAAGACGCAGCAGGAAGGGCACATGCCCATTACATCGTCCTGATGCCCTGCCAGCCCCATGCTGCTTTGAGGGGCTGGGATGTGGGATCGCACTTGCAAAGCACAACAGGGCTGGCATGGGTGGTGTGAGGAGCAAAACGTGCCCTGGAAAAAACTGTGCCCAGGGCAAAGACTGCCCTTGTGATTTCACCTAAACTCTTTTCTCACATGCTGCTTTGTGAAGAGGAAAGTGCATTCAAGAGCAGAGTTTGAGACACAAAGGGGATTGTGAGCTCGGCCCTGACTCTCTGATTCCAAGGAAGCAGCACTAGACTTCAGACCACAGGCCTGTAAGGGAGGCAAAATTGAAAACAAAACTTGAGGTAGGGAATTTCTGTCCTGGCTCTTCTGCAAGTACTTCTTCATTCACACAGAGAGCTGCATGTACAATTCTGAGCTCAGAATAAGTATATGTGGCATCTGTCACTCTCTCTGGGAAGAGGGGTATTTCCCTCCTTTTCATTTTCTCCTCATAGCATAGGGATATTATCTCTTGATGCCACAGAGATGCCAAAGGGTTCTGTCCTGGGCCTGTTGTAGTCATACCAGGCCAATCTCATTTATTTTATTTTTTATGGCATTACAAATGTAGTGGATCAGGAGAATGCTGTGGTCATAGTCTATTTTGAGTTCAGGCAGGCTTTTGGCAAAGTCCCCCATTATATTTTCATGAGGTAAAATGTGTGCTGAACATGTGCAGAGGAGGGCAGCCAGGAAGATGATGGGTGGGAAACCAAGCCTTATGAGCAATGGTTGAGGGAGCTGGGTATGTTTAGCCTAGAAAAAGGAGACTGAGAGGAGATATGATACCCATCTTCAAATACCTCAAGGGCTGTCACATGGAAGATGCAGCAAGCTTGTCTATTGCTACAGAGAGTAGGACCCAAACCAATGTATTCAAGTTACAAGAAAGGATGGAGGTGGAGTTTCTGAGCATCTCCACACTTTCTTCTGTGAAATTGGTGTTTTTTTGTGTCCACAAGAGTTCCTCAGTTTTCCAGTTGTGCCCTTGGGCTCCCAAAGGTGCAGACCACATCTCGGGGTGGGGGAGAACCATCTGATTTTTTTTATGCACATAGCAAGTTCAATAAACAAATAAAATAAAATTATATCAAGGAGTCGGCAGCAAATTCATTACCCATGTTCTGGGGTAACAGAAAAAAGTGACAACAGGGTACTTTGCTATTTCTTCTTTATTAACTGCTGTTTGTCATTCAGATCAGGCCTTAATATGATAATGTAGCATTTGGGGGAAAAGATGGAACCCAGTAAACCAGCACTGGAGACCAAGATGGAGAAGATCTCCACAGCCACCATGTGTTTTCCCTTGGAGCTCAGGTAGACCGGAACAAAGGAGATCCAAACACTACAAAATAACAACATGCTGAAGGTGATGAATTTGGCCTCATTAAAGCTGTCAGGCAGTTTCCTGGCTAAAAATGCTACAACAAAACTGACAATGGCCAGGAGGCCCATGTAGCCCAGGACACAGTAAAACATGGCAGCTGACCCTTCATTACATTCCAGAATAATTTCTCCTGTCACAGAATGCTTGTCAAAATGGGGAAATGGGGAGAGGTTCCCAGCCACACAGTGCAAATACCAGCTTGGATAATAGTACAAGTCAACACAATGGCGCTTGCCAGTCTTTTCCCCACCCATTTCCTCATTCTGGATCCTGGTTTGGTGGCCATGAATGCCAGAACAACGGTGATGGTTTTGGCCAACACACAAGAAACAGTCACTGTGAAAACCACACCAAAAGCCATTTGTCGGACAAGGCAGGTCACTCTGTCTGGTCGGCTGAGGAAGATGAGGGGACAGAGAAAACAGAGAAGGAGAGACAGGAGGAGAACGTAGGTGAGGTCCCGATTATTGGCCCTGACAATCGGTGTGTCCTGATGCTTCATAAAGATGGCGAGGGACAAGATGGTCAGCAAAGAGGAGAATACGGAGCCAAAAGCTAAGCTCATCCCAAGCGGTTCTTCCAAAGTCAAGAAGCTGATGGACTTTGCAATGCATTGTGTTTGGTTCCTGTTTGGATAGTGATCTTCTGAGCATCCGACACAGTCATTCATGTCTGAAAAGAAGAAAGGATTCCCTTTAAGGGTGCAACTTGAGAGTAGGTATGCATCCTCCTGGCAGTATGGGGCCATTTTAGCAAGTTACACCTACGGGCCCTGTATCTGATGTCATCTCTGATGTTAGGTGTAGGGCAGGTAACAGTGTGCTTTGTAAACCCCAACCATCATCTGATCATTTGGGCTTGCAAAGCACCTCTTTGAAAATGCTGGGCCTCGTTGCTGGGCCATCAGCTGGTTGCAATAAAGAGCTCCAAGTCTGTGAACTTCAATCACCATGGAAATCAGAACTACATCAATAGCAGCAACTGTGACACCTTTCACATTGACACAGACCCTTCACAGGAAATCTGAGTTATCTGAAAGCTACCTAATGTCTCCTACCTTTCTGGTATGAAATCTTGCCTTCTGAACATGGAGCACAGTCATAGCAGCAGAATTTCTCCCCTTCCTGCTTTTTCTCCTAGTACCAGAAGGGCAATTTTTGTTGCATTGAGAGAGGGGTGGCACCTGTGAATTTTAATTAATCATAAGGAAATGTTTAGCACAGGGGGAATAATGGACCTTTGGAGAACCTGAACTCCATTTTCTGGGCTGCAAGGGATCAAGTGGATGGGAGAAATGGCCTGCTGAATATTAAGAGAATTTTGAAAACAATGAGCTGTCAACAGCCATTAATGGCATCTAATGAGACAGAAGATGTTTTGTGACTCTGAAAATGAAGTTATGGCCATTTCAATGTGTTTTTAAAAAAGTAAAAATAAAAAAGAGGGAGGGAGGGAGTCCACCTGAACAGTAATATTATTATTATTTGGAAAAATACATTTCTTATAAAACTGAAAAGGATTTAAAGTAGAGTTGAAAGGATGTTTTGACATCCTAAGTGATTTAAATAAGCAGCTACCTATATACACTGTCAGGTTCCTTCAGTTTTTCCACCTGAAAAACACAAATATTGGGAACTGAGAACCCCAGACTAAATACACTGGGCCAAGAGACAATCGTACACAAGTTAAGCAGCCTCAAAACCAAGGATAGTGCTGGACTCTGCCAGACTTCTGCTACTATAACTTGAGAATTACTAGCCTCCAAACCAGGCATTCTCTGCAGAAGTCTGCCTCCTCTGTCTCCAGGCTCAGCTCCCTTTTCTTTCTCCCCAAAGAAGTTGGTTGGAGGTTAGGCTTAGGTCACACTGTGCTGGCCTAGAAATCTTTAAAGAATGTGCTAGACAGGGAAGTGGAAGACCAGGGTTCAAATGAAACTCATTGGGTGACCTTGGACCAGTCACTGCTGCTCTCAGTCTACACTACCTTACAGGGTTGTTGGTTGTTAGGATAAAATGGGAAGTAAGCAAAGGAAAGGTGGACTAAAAATGCAATAAACAAACAAGCATATAATAATGAACTATGTCCTGGCCTCCTTCAGGGCATCAGAGCCCCACAACATTCATAGAGGTTTTCATAAACAACAAGTGAGGAAAAATACAGGATCCATGTCTCAGCTAGGCTTCAAAGATGCAAGCATCTCATTTAGGACCCACTGGAGTTGCAATTTGCTGAAATCATGCCCCACCTGCTGAAAACTCCTGTGCCACACCATTTTGTCTTCATTGATGGAAAACTCTTTTCCTGGGGGAGCATCCAAATTCATCCATCCAACCTTCATTCTGATGAAGGAGTTATTTGGGAAAGTGACCAAGTTGGTAATATCGAATCCAGCTTCTAATTCCCTGTTCTCACTAAAAGACACTTCTTCTCCCGCACTGTTGTTAAATGAGACACTCCTAAGAAATGGGTGGAGCTGCATTGAGATGGCAGGAAAAGGACAATTGTTTAAAACTCAACCTTATCTTATGTTCAGCATAGCCTTTTAAAGTGCCATTGCCTCTTCCAAGGCAGTAGACAAGATTTCATATAATCACAAAATAATAACAATAGCAATAATAACAGTAAATTTTGATCTCTCTTTCCTCTGTAGATTCCTCCGTATAGGACTAAGGCACACTGTATATGTATTTCAAAGCTTAAACAGGACTTCCCCTGCCAGATTTAAAGCTATATTATGAAGCTTCGTGTCTTTGCTGGGTGAAAGAATGGATAAAGTTAGAAAACACAGAATTGTTGGACTTAGAAGGTTATGATAATAGATTCGGTTGGCACGCGTATTTATGGTGTGAAAAGAATAGAGTGCATAAAGGTTTTGAAAACCACATCTTTAGAAGAAGATCGTTGATTGAAGTCTGGAATAGGTATAAAAATTTATTAGAGTTTAAAACTCCATATTGGCTATCACCATTGGAGATAATGAGTGTGAAAAAGATCAATATGACAGGGAGATGGATTACTTAAGAGAATTTGATAATTAAAGAAGGTAATAAATGGAAACTGAGACCATATGAAGAAGTTAAAGAAAATGTGAGTGACTGGTTGCACTATTTTCAGTTAAATGCAATGTTCAAAAAAGAGTTGTCAGAAAGAGGTTTCCAGGAAAAGAAATCTAGGTTTCATCAAGAAATCTTGAATAGTGATGTTAAAATTTTATCAAAAATGTATAAATTATTACTTGAGTGGCATACAAAGGATGAGGAAGTAAAATCAATTATGATTCAGTGGGCCATAGATTTTGGTTATAATATACAATTTGATGAGTGGATAAAATTGTGGAAAGAAGGAATGAAATTCACTGCATGCACTACAATAAAAGAAAATGTTATGAAAATGATGTATAGATGGTATGTAACACCAGTGAAACTTGGTAAGATGTATAAAGTCAGTAATAAATGTTGGAAATGTCAGGAAAAAGAAGGAACATTTTATCACATGTGGTGGGAGTGTAAGAAAGTGAAAGGCTTCTGGGAAATGATTTATAATGAGATGAAGAAAATGTTGAAATATACTTTTGTTAAGAAACCAGAAGCATTTTTATTAGGAATATTAGGGAATGAAATTAAAAAGAATGATGTGAAATTATTTAGGTATGCAGTGACAGCAGCTAGAATTTTGATGGCCCAGAAATGGAAACAGGAAGAAATGCCGACGAGGGAAGAATGGAGAATGAAACTGATGGAATATGCAGAAATGGACAAATTAACGGGGAAAATTCGGAACCAGCGTGATCAGAGATTCACCGAGGACTGGAATAAATTCACAGAGTATACCAAAAATGTATGTGAGGAGCAAATAACGCTTGTTGGCTTTCAAGAAGCTCTGTGAAAACGATGGACAGAAATGTTGCTTAAAAGATATGATAAGATTAAGATTGTTAAAGCGCAATATAAATTTAAGAAATGTGAGTAATTGTGATTATATGGAAAATTGTCAGATAGGCTGAGGGAAGTCTAAAAGATGTATATGTTAGAAGTGGATGTTAAATATGGATGGAATGTATATTGGAAACTGAATAAAAATTAATTATAAAAACAAAACAAAGCTTAAACAGGACTTCCAAAATCATCATGCAAACATCCATGAAGTTCAATGCAGAAAGGGTATAAATGAAAGAACAAGAAAATGGTGGGAGGGTAAGACTGAGGGAGGAACAGGCAAAACAGGTGTTCCTGTTAAGACTCTAGTTGAGATAGAAATTGCCATTGACAATATCACACCTAGCTGTTTTGAAGAGCTGAAGCTCAGGTGAGTGGGTTGTATCCGATTTTCTCAGAAATGATAAATATTACTATAAAAAGATGGTTTGTTGTCCAAAATGAATGTCACTGTGTATTTCTGATGATACCATTGTAAATATGTTGCCAAAAAATTGGCAAGATTAAAGTGGCAGCATTCATAGTAATGGCAACTCAATAGAACACAGCCCAAAAATCTGATGCTGGACACTTTGTACCACTCACTCTGGAATATAGCTATAGCAAAATAATCACAAATAATTTGAGATTTTGACAAGGACTAGACACGTTTTATATGATTTGGCATATACAGCAGAACCAACGTTTTCAAAACAACCCCTCCCCACAAACCTGGCAAATCTGGAACTATGCTTGGTGATCTGATACAATTGGACTTAATTTGGACTTTAAAGTCTTTATTTAACTCACGTGCAGCTACACATCCTACCTGCCTATTTTACAGTTCAGTTATTCATCTCTCAATTTTTGTCTGTTGTTAAAATTGCGTTATCTTTGCTTTATCAACAATATAAAATGAAATAATAATTAAAAGATATACCAAAAAAAAAGAGCCATTACCTGCCAAGGCTGCAATTTCTGAAGCTGCGGTCTCCATCTTCTCACAATTCCTCTGTCTTTTGCCCTGGATCTGTACATGGCATCATGTAGGGCATGTGCCACAACATAGACAGCATTGTAGATGCTGTAGCTGTGGCCAGTCATGCTCATCTCAAAGCCAGACGAGGGGAGGCTGTCCAGCTTCTCCTGTCCAGTGCAGGGTTCACTGAACTCAGTACTGGATTTTGAAAAGAAACAATAGAATGTCTGCAGCCAGAACTGCTGAAGAAAACCATCTTCACCTGCCATGAAAGGATTGAGGGAGCGAAGAAGGGTCTTGAATCCTTGCACCTCCTTTGAGTGCACTGTGAAGCAGATGGAGCCATGAAATGGTTGCATACTCTGGCTCATTTGAAAGGCCAATGCTGAGAAATCCAATTGAGCAGTCATAATCCATACCTTCTCCATAGATGTCACATTTTCTGCACCCCCTGCCGCTAGCCATAGTTGCAAAAAACACATGGACTTGGCTTCTCCATAGACAACAACAGCATTGGCTTTGCTTTCCGCAATAGCAAGATAGGCTTGGAGCCACTGGGGAATCATGTGATAATACTCTTCAAAATATGAGCCTTTTGGAGTTCTCTCTGAAAAGGCCAAGCAAATGCCTCTCTGGAAAAGCAGAGTTTGCAGGATTTCCATAAACTTCTCTCCACTCTCACTATCCACCGCGAACAACCCAACCCACGTCCATCCAAAGTGCAGAAGTAACTCAACAATCCCAGTGTACTGATGGGCTTCATTGGGCACCATCCAGTAGAAGGGAGTGGATTGGCTTTGACCAGCATCCTCTGGGGCAAAGGAGCCATAAGTGAGCTAGAAGGAAACGGACACTTAATTCCCATTAATGCAGTAGAAACATTGGTTATGTGTGGATTGCAATGATGAAACCATTGTGCTTTGGACCTGCTGTCTTAGTAAGCCCGTCAGGGAATGGGCAGATGAGGAGGAGTGGTGGAGAGCAGCACCCTAAGAACCTTCCAGAAAGAAGGAAGGGGGGAGAGTATGGTGTGGTGGTTTGAGACAGGTCACACCTGAGAAGGAAAAAGCACCTGGGAAATAATAAGTGATGATGAACCAGAGCAAGGTGGCAATGAACAAAGACAGGAGTCAGATTTCTTAGAAACAGTACAGCAGCCAAGTGACATTCTTTCTCAAGAGAGTTTGTCAGAGCCCCCTCCTTCCACAAGGACCAGACATGCTCTGCAGAACCCAAAAGAGAATTGATCTTAGCAGCCACCATAGGCAGCAGGAGGCGTCTGATTTCTAGGAAGAAATTGTCGGTGCAGGGTGGAGTTGCAATCTGAGCAATATTAGCTCAAGGGTGAGAGCATACTTTCACGTGTTTCTGTCTTCCTGTGGATTAAAATGAAACCATTGAAAAGCTCTCTCTGCTCCTCTGATTTCACTAGGTAGATAACCAGTGACCTGTTGATGGCACCCCTGACAGCCCCAAATTGTCCAGGTCAAATTAATTAAGGTAATGTACAAGTGACTGATGAGCAGCCTCCGTAATTCATCCTGGTTGGAGTCTACCTGAGGCCGGCAGATCAAGCTGTTCACATACATAGAGCAGGTGTGTACAACTGTATCTGCAAAATGTTCCATTCCTACCCTCTGAAGAACATGCACACGTTGGGAAATGGATGAAGACGGATGAAAGCTTTTATTGAATACAATTTGAAATTGTCAAGAGGGCTATGATGGAATGCAAAACTTTTCTCAACAGGACAGAGGAAAGAAGAATGAGTCACCATGTTTGACTCTTACCTGGGGAATCTTGTAGACACCTAAGATGGCTGCCATGTGGAGGGAAACCTCAAAGTCAAGTCCCCCAATGACGGCCATCAGATTTTTCTGTTTGTCACACTGGTAGTTGGGTACGAATCTGTAGTGTGTAGAGAGCAGCTCCAAAGTGGCCCAGTAGGTCATCCTTTCACTGAAGTAACTATCAAAGATGTGGAATCCTAATGTGACATTAGGTAATATATTGGAATTCTTGTTGATTTCCTTGACTGCAAACACCAAGGCCAGAATTTGCTGATAGTATTTTGGTACAACACTGCAATGAGAGTTGGACATCAAAGCGTATTGCTGTGTACCATTTTTGGTCAATCTGTTTAAAGAAACTTAGGTTCCATGTCTTTCTGTGCTAGGGAGCAACAAGGCAGCTTACAGGCAGATTGAATTAAACCAATAAAGAATTTGTTTTAAATACACATACAGCAAAAACTGCACCACACTGTTCACTCAAGTGAAGCTTGAATTTCATTAAGATGGCGAGATCCTAGTAAGCCAGGTGTCCTTCAACTTATATTTGTGAAGTTGGTACTTCCTGCCTAAGTGCAGAACCTTACATTTCTCCCTATTCAAATTCATTTGTTAACCCAATCCTCCAATCTGTTAAAGAAATCTTGAACCCTGAGACAATGCCTACTCGCCTTCTAGGTCATATGTCTTATTTGCCATCCTGTATTAAAAGCTCCAATTCATCTTGCTTGTTTCCCATACCCTGTGCCTTTCAGTAGAGACAACTGAAACTAGGAATCATTCTCTCCAGCTGCGTCCTTCTTGTAGTTTGTTGCCCTTTTGCAGGTTTCTGGAACCCCACCTCAGTTTCCCATGCATCAATGAAGCTATTGCCCCTAATACCAGGCAACCTTCTGTTGCCTGTAATGTTTTCACAATTACTCTGTGTACATTTTCTTTGAAGCTTCTGTAAAACCCAATGGTAGAGCATCTGCTTAGCACACAGGTGGGGCTGGGGCAGACCCCTGTCTGAAATCCTGGAGAGCCACTGCTACTCTGTGTAGACAGGCATGTAATAGGTAGACCAATGGTTCCTACTGGCCATTCACCCATTTCCACTTGACATCAGAATGCTGGGCTCTCTAGATTATGACACCTATGTGACTGGTTGTGGTTATGGCTCCTCCTCTCCCTTAAGCACTGCTCTGGAAAGTGGGGTGCAGGAGCTTGGGGGTGAGAGAGAAACACACCACCCAGAACATAATGTCATATCTCACTGGAAGACTGCTCTTTCTTTGCTTCCACGCTGGATCCTAGACAATTCACATCTTTCCTACAGGCTTGACGAAAAATTTATTGTCTGTCTTGATCATTTTAGATGTTAAAATTCAGGTGGTGGGGAGGGTTAAGTTTAAGATTGATCCTATGTTCGGTGGGGGGATATTTTGCACCCCTCCCTATAAGTTATAAATCCCCATAGCGAAAATAAATAGTATGTATTTCTGAGCCCACATGGTAACTTAGGAATTAATATGACATGGGAATTGCAAATTTGCAATACTTACAATGAATTCAGAATCTGATGGATGGATGGCCATTGTATGAAGGTTTCATAGTCAACAGAGGACACGATGTGAGAAGCAAGTGCACCAATGATAAGGTCACCTGGCTGATAGTACTTGTGTGGAATATGGAGGTGACTGATGCTCCGACTGACATATGACAGATTCACCATTTGAGGCAGCGAGAAGATTAACAGCATCAACACTGCCATACTAGGAACAATACACTTTCCTAGACAGAGATTTCCCTGTTTACATCTACTCAGCATTGGCATTAGAAACAACCTCAGTACAGCAGCTTGCCTTCAATGGCACTCTCTGAATGCACCAGCTAAATTCCCAAGACCTAGGATCCAACTCCAGGGGAAAGCTCACTAAACGAGTCAGCAGCACCTTAGCATTTGCTGGGGATGGCAGAGAGGGTTTTAATTCTTTGTAGACTGGATTCCTGGAAGTCTATGGAGGTCTAATCAGAAGCAGATTATTACCATGTAATTGATAATAACCGGGGAGAGAATATTGTTCCCTTTGCCTCAGCTGGTCCATTGGAAGTAGCAGAGACAATGATCCACACAGAATAATCCCTCAGCAGCCTCCTTCAAGTGTTTTCAAGGCATTGTAATGAGGGGGGAGCAGGAATAAGCCTGTTACCCCTTCCCCTCCATTGCATCCCTGCTGCCAGTTTCATCACCTACTGTGTTCTCAGAAGAGAGCCTCTGCAGCTTTCTCTACTTACTGTACTTTCTTACACAATCCAGAACCCTAAAAGTTGTCAATCACTCAAGAGAATCTACACAGGTAGAGAAAGCTCCTTGCGGGGAATCAACAAGGACCTCTGACCTGCAGCAGTTAGGCCAACCAAGTTTCTCCATTGGGCTCATGGTCCAAACCACATTCACATGTCCATCAGCTGATGTTATGTGAGGCCAGGCATGGGGCAGGTAAACCCATGGGGCCAAGATGAATCCTGCCACTGGTAGAATTTGGCTGGAAAGGAACAATTGTGAGCAGACTCTGAGTGACTTCAAGGCATGGCTGTGATGATGGACATATGGTCCGTTGGGCCCTGTCTGCAGGCCTTTTTAGGGCCCCTATATATATTCGCCTAAATAAACAGAAAAAGGTAGAATTGAAAGGAGCCCCCAAAGGTCATCAAGCTCGACCCCCTGGAATGCAGGGATCACAACTAAAGCATCCGTGACAAGCTGGGCAGGTGACATGAGGAGGATGCAGCAGGAAGGGCACATGCCCATTACATCGTCCTGACGCCCTGCCAGCCCCACACTGCTTTGAGGGGCTGGGATGTGGGATCGGACTTGCAAAGCAGAACCGGGCTGGCATGGGTGGTGTGAGGAGCAAAACGTGCCCTGGAAAAAACTGTGCCCGGGGCAATGACTACCCTTGTGATTTCAGTTAAACCTTCTTTTCTCACATGCTGCTTTGTGAAGAGGAAAGTGCATTCAAGAGCAGAGTTTGAGACACAAAGGGGATTGTGAGCTCGGCCCTGACTCTCTGATTCCAAGGATGCAGCATTAGACTTCAGACCACAGGCCTGTAAGGGAGGTCTGCTGCTTTGCGGCAAAATTTAAAACAAAACATCAGGTAGGGAATTTATTTCCTGGCTCTTCATCAAGTACTTCTTCATACACACAGAGAGCTGCATGTACAATTCTGAGTTCAGAATAGGTATATGTGGCATCTCTCACTCTCTCTGGGAAGAGGGGTATTTCCCTCCTTTTCATTTTCTCCTCATAGCATAGAGATATTATCTCTTGATGCCACAGATGTGCCAAAGGGTCCTGTCCTGGACCTGTTCTTCTCATACCAGACCAATCTCATTTCTTTTCTTTTTTATGGCATTACAAATGTGGTGGATCAGGAGAATGCTGTGGTCATAGTCTATTTTGAGTTCAGTCAGGCTTTTGGCAAAGTCCCCCATTATATTTTCATGAGGTAAAATGTGTGCTGAACATGTGTACAGGAGGGCAGCCAGGAAGATGATGGGTGGGAAACCAAGCCTTATGAGCAACAGTTGAGGGAGCTGGGTATGTTTAGCCTGGAAAAAGGAGACCGAGAGGAGATATGATACACATCTTCAAATACCTCAAGGGCTGTCAGATGGAAGATGCAGCAAGCTTGTCTCTTGCTACAGAGAGTAGGACCCAAACCAATGGATTCAAGTTACAAGAAAGGATGGAGGTGGAGTTTCTGGGCATCTCCACACTTTCTTCTGTGAAATTGGTGTTTTTGTGTCAACAAGAGTTCATAAGTTTTCCAATTGTGCCCTTCGGCTCCGAAAGGTGGGGACCACATCTCGGGGTGGGGGAGAACCATCTGATAATTTTTTATGCACATAGCGAGTTCAATAAACAAATAAAATGAAATTATATCAAGGAGTCGGCAGGAAATTCATTACCCATGTTCTGGGGTAACAGAAAAGAGTGACAACAGGGTACTTTGCTATTTCTTCTTTATTAACTGCTGTTTGTCATTCAGATCAGGCCTCAATATGATAATGTAGCATTTGGGGAAAAAGATGGAACCCAGTAAACCAGCACTGGAGACCAAGATGGAGAAGATCTCCACAGCCACCATGTGTTTTCCCTTGGAGCTCAGGTAGACCGGAACAAAGGAGATCCAAACACTACAAAATAATAACATGCTGAAGGTGATGAATTTGGCCTCATTAAAGCTGTCAGGCAGTTTCCTGGCTAAAAATGCTACAACAAAACTGACAGTGGCCAGGAGGCCCATGTAGCCCAGGACACAGTAAAACATGGCAGCTGACCCTTCATTACATTCCAGAATAATTTCTCCCGTCACAGAATGCTTGTCAAAATGGGGAAATGGGGGAGAGGTTCCCAGCCACACAGTGCAAATACCAGCTTGGATAATAGTACAAGTCAACACAATGGCGCTTGCCAGTCTTTTCCCCACCCATTTCCTCATTCTGGATCCTGGTTTGGTGGCCATGAATGCCAGAACAACGGTAATGGTTTTGGCCAACACACAAGAAACAGTCACTGTGAAAACCACACCAAAAGCCATTTGTCGGACAAGGCAGGTCACTCTGTCTGGTCGGCTGAGGAAGATGAGGGGACAGAGAAAACAGAGAAGGAGAGACAGGAGGAGAACGTAGGTGAGGTCCCGATTATTGGCCCTGACAATCGGTGTGTCCTGATGCTTCATAAAGATGGCGAGGGACAAGATGGTCAGCAAAGAGGAGAATACAGAGCCAAAAGCTAAGCTCATCCCAAGAGGTTCTTCCAAAGTCAAGAAGCTGATGGACTTTGGAATGCATTGTGTTTGGTTCCTGTTTGGATAGTGATCTTCTGAGCATCCGACACAGTCATTCATGTCTGAAAAGAAGAAAGGATTCCCTTTAAGGGTGCAACTTGTGAGTAGGTATGCATCCTGGCAGTATGGGACTTACCAGTTGGATGTGGAAGAGACAATCCTTTTCAGACACAGGAGTGACTAGCATGGGGAGAAAGGGCTTTGAACCCCCCTCCCCCAGACAATGATCTCAGTCGCTTGCCTGGACAGTAAGGGGGTGTGTCTGGACAGCAGGAGGCCTGTGCTTTGCAGGTGCACTGCTGCAACTCATCTCCATCACCACCCAGGTAATCCAGTGATAGAAAACCTCTGGCCCATGGGGCCATTTTAGCAAGTTACACCTACCGGCCCTGTATCTGATGTCATCTCTGATGTTAGGTGAAGGGCAGGTAACTGTGCTTTGTAAACCCCAACCACCATCTGATCATTTGGGCTTGCAAAGCACCTCTTTGAAAATGCTGGGCCTCGTTGCTGGGCCATCACCTGGTTGCAATGAAGAGCTCCAAGTCTGTGAACTTCAATGACCATAGATATCAGAACTACATCAATAGCAGCAACTGTGACACCTTTCACACTGCCACAGACCCTTCACAGGAAATCTGGGTTATCTGAAAGCTACCTAATGTCTCCTACCTTTCTGGTATGAAACCTTGCCTTCTGAACATGGAGCACAGTCATAGCAGCAGAATTTCTCCCCTTCCTTCTTTTTTCTCCTAGTACCAGAAGGGCAATTTTTGTTGCATTGAGAGAGGGGTGGCACCTGTGAATTTTAATTAATCATAAGGAAATGTTTAGCACAGGGGGAATAATGGACCTTTGGAGAATCTGAACACCATTTTCTGGGCTGCAAGGGATCAAGTGGATGGGAGAAATGGCCTGCTGAATATTAAGAGAATTTTGTAAACAATGAGCTGTGAACAGCCATTAATGGCATCTAATGCGACAGAAGATGTTTTTGTGACTTTGAAAATGAAGTTATGGCCATTTCAATGTGTGTGTTTTTTAAAAAAATCAAAGGGAGGGAGGGAGTTCACCTGAACAGTAATACTATTATTTGGAAAAATACATTTCTTATAAAATTCAAAAAGTTTTAAAGTAGAGTTGAAAGGATGTTTTGACATCCTAAGTGATTTAAATAAGCAGCTACTGTATACACTTTCAGGTTCTTTCA